AGGGGTATGGGTAGGAGGGGGAGGAGGAGGATGAGGAGGAGGAGGAGGAGGGGGAGGAGGAGGAGGAGGAGGAGGATGAGGAGGGTAGGAGGAGCTATGAGCGGATGAGAAGGAGATCTGAGGTGCAGAGCAGGACGAGGAAGGAGGATGGGGGTGAGGGGGTAGGAGGAAGAGGACGAGGGGGAGGATGAGGAGTAAAAGGTAGGGGGGAAAGGGGGGGGTGGAGGAGGTATGATGAGGAGGGGGAGGCGGAGGAGGAGTAGGAGGAGGAGGAGGAGGAGGAGGAAGAGAAGGAAGTGAGTAGGGAGGAGGAGGAGGAGGAGGAGGATGATGATGATGATGATGATGAGGATGCGAAGGAGGAGGAGAAGGAGGAGGAGGAGGAACCGCAGGAGGAAAAGGAGGAGGCAGAGGAGAATGAGTAGGAGGGAGAGGAGTATGAGAAGGAGGAGGAACACGTGGAGGAGGAGGAGAAGACGTATGAGGAGGGCTGAGGAGGATGTAGAGACGGAGGAGGAGGAGCAGGCGGAGGAGGCGGAGACGGAGGAGGAAGAAGGAGGACAACTAGGCGGAGGAACGAGGATTGAAGAGGGAGGATGGAGGAGGTGGCGGAGGATGAGTAGGAACAGGAAGGAATGAGGAGGAGGAGGAGGAGGAGGAGGGGAAGGAGGAGGAGAAGGAGGAGGGGGGGCGGGAGGGAGGAGGAGGAGGAGAGGAGGAGGAGGAGGAGGAGAGGAGGAGGGATGAATGGAGGATAGTATGGATGAGGAGGAGGAGGAGGAGAGGAGGGATGATGGGGATGGGGGAGGGGAATGAAGAGGATGAGGGCGGGGAGGGGGAGGAGTGTGGTGGTGGTGGAGGAGGTGGAGGCGGAGGATGATGATGAGGGATGGGGAGGTGGAAGAGGATGAGGAGGATGAGGAGGAGGAGAATTCTCGGATAATAGGTAGGAGGAGGAGGAGGAGGAGGAGGAGGAGGAGGAGGAGGAGGAGGAGGATGAGGAGGGATACCGATTCTGATGTTGATGCTGATGCCGATGATGCTGACGATGCTGATGCTGATGATGATGATGCCGATGATGACGATGGTGGTGCTGGTACCGATGATGATGATGATGATGATGATGCTGATGATGCTGACGATGCTGACGATGATGATGATGCTGATGATGATGATGCTGATGATGCTGCTGCTGATGATGATGATGCTGATGATGATGATGTTGGTGCTGATGATGATGCTGCAAATGATGATGCGACTGATCATGATGTAGATGATGCGTGATTATGGTGATGCTGATGCTGATGCTGTTGCTGCTGCTGATGATGATGGAGATGCTGATGCAGGTGATGATGGTGATGATGATGATGATGATGGTGATGCTGCTGATGATGAGGCCCAGGAGGAGGAGGCGGAGAAGGAACAGGGGGAGTAGGGGGAGGAGGAGGAAGGAGGAGGATGAGGATGAGGAGGAGGAGGAGGAGGAGGAAAGGGAGGCAGGAAGAGGAGGAGGGCGGGGAGGACAAGGAGGAGGAGGATATTGAGGAGGAGGAGGAGGAGGAGGAGGAGGAGGGAGGAGGAGGTGGAAGGGGGGAGGTGGGAGGGGGAGGGAGGGGGAGGAAGAAACGTTTGCTAACATAAGAAATAATATAAGAAAATTAACGGGGGAAACGAGGAGATGTGATTGATGATGATGATGTTCGATGATGGATGTGATGATGATGATGTTGATGACGATGGATGATGATGAATGATGATGATTGATGAAGGTGGAGGGAGGAGAGGAGGGAGGAGGTGGACTTATGAGGACATGTAGGTGGAGCAAGGAGTGAGGAGGGAGGAGGGAGGCGAGAGGAGGAGGAGGAGGAGGAGGAGGAGGGAGCAGAGCAGGAGGAGGAGGTAGGGGAGGAAGCAGTGAGCAGGTGCAGGAGGCGATGATGAGGATGATGATGATGATGATGATGCTGATGATGATGATGCTGATGATGATGATGATGCTGATGCTGATGATGATGATGATGATGATGATGACGTTGACGATGATGATGATGATGATGATGATGATGATGATGATGATGATGATGATGATGATGATGATGATGATGATGCTGATGAGGATGCTGATGCTGATGATTTGGAGGAGGAGGAGAAGGGAGGAAGAGGAGGAGGAGGAGGAGGAGGAGGAGGAGGAGGAGGGAGGAAGAGGAGGAGGAGCAAACTGAGGAGGAGTAGCAGGAGTAGCAGGACCACTTCCCCTGGGGGTAGGTCCCGCCCTTCGCCCGAGAACAATCCCACCAGCCCTCTGGGCGCAGGTGGTCTAGGGCGTTACCTTTTCCAACATACTTCCTGTCCCTGCTTGGGAGGTTTACCTCCCCCCCCCCTCCATGCGTTTGGACGGGGGGGCGACCCATAGCAGCGTCGAAGATGGCCCAAGATGGCTCCAAGAGGGCCTCAGAGAGCGCAAGATGGCCTCCAAGGTGGCCCAAGATAGCGGTAGATGGGTCAAGATAGCCTCCGACACACGTCCAAGAGGCCTCAAGACGGCCCCAAGACGGTTTCAAGTGCTGTCCGAGGCCTCCGAGGACCCACCCAAGAGGCCAACATCCTTCAAACACCAGAGGATTACCATGTGTTTTGCCTTCTCGTTTTTTCGCCTCCGATGGGCTCTTAAGGCCTCAAGATGGCCCCCAAACGGTCCAAGATAGCCCCAAGAGGGGTCCAAAAGGGCCCCAAGACGGCCCTTAGAGCGCCCAAGAGCGCTCCAAGAGCGGGCCAAGAGGGCCCCAGGACGGCACTTTTGAGCCTCCGATGGGGGGGTCCGAATTAAGGACCCCTTCTTTTTCAGCGAAAGGGTCCAAGACGGCCTCAAGAGGCCCCTCAAACATCCCAAAAGGGCCCCAAGAAGGCCCCAAGACCCCCCAAAGAGCCCCAAGAGGGCCCCAAGAAGGCCCTAAGAGGACCTCAAGAGAGCACCAAGAACGAGCTCCAGGAGGGCCCCAAGAGGGCCCCAAGAGAGCCCCAAGATGGCTCCAAGTTTCGAAACGCACGCGAGCTTCAGATGCAAATCAGTGCAACAGCCATTACGAATCATCGAAACACCCCTCAACCCTCATCGAAACACCATCGTAGCTTGCACCGGTTTCCATTTTGAACTTCAATGCGGAAAGCTATTTGTGATCCTTGTTTTCCCGAAGACGGCTGCGCGACTGCATGCGTCCTGCCGCCCCTGATTCACCAACTCCCCTGCTGATCGTTTCTGGATGGGCTGGTGGGGATACTTTTTTGATCGCGACCGTAGCGACAAATCGCTCGGCGTCAAGGCTGGTTGGGATATTTTTTTGTTCGCGAGCGCAAGCGGAGGAACCGCGCGCCGTCACTAAGATCCAGCGAAGACCTAAAAGCCAGCGGCCGGAAACGGGGCAAGGCGAACTGCTGGTGGGGATATTTTTTGTCGAAACCGCAGGCGAAGGCGCCAGCGGCGAGTCGAGCTGGTGGGGATATTTTTTGTCAACAGCCGCAGGCGAGCGCGCCGACGGCGTGTCAAGGTCCGAGCGGGCCGCGCGAGGTCCTAAATTACCCAGCACAAGCAGGCCTGCCTCCGCGACTCAGGCCGGGAGCAGGCAGCCGAGGGAGGGGGCAGAGCTGCAAACTGCCAGGTGGTGGGAATGTTTTTTTTGGGGGGGGGGGGGGCCGCGGCCGCGAGACAAAGGTCAGGCGGCGAGAAGCAAAGTCCGGGACACGAACGAGGCTGATTAGCTACAGCAGTGGTGGGGATGCGCGAAGCGTCAAGAATTTTTGATTGCCCCGGGGCCCGACAGTGGCCCCCCGAGGGCCGAACTCGGGGAAGAAGGCCCGGGATTGAAAGAGCCATACGGCAGGTTCGCGTCGTGTCGACCCCGGCGTTGGTTTCTGACACCGCGGGGATCGTTCAACCTTGAACGATCGGCCGTTTCCGAAACGTCCAATCGTTCCACATCGAAAGATTCTGGGTCGCCCGCGGCGTTCAAAGTTGAACGCCCGCGCTGGGGTCGTTGCTGGTCGACACGACGCAGACCTACCGTACTTTGGCTTGGCTGACGTGGCACGCAGGACGCAGCCCAGAGCGTGCTGTCACGAGGCTCTCTTGCGGTCGCCGCAGGGCGGCAGAGGCGCTCCGCACGCGCGCTCCAATTTAGTGGGCTGGGCTCGGGTAGGCACGGACCGTCCAGCTGCAAGAGAGGGGGGGGAGGGCCAGAGAGCGGTGGCGGAGGCGTAAGCAAGATCAAGGTAAGCAAGGGCTCCCAGCTTCGCGCTTCGCGCTCCGCGAAGCGCGAAGCGCGAATAACTTCGCGCTCTCGCGCCGCCCTCCCAAAGGGAGAATAGGAGGACGAGGAGGAGGGGGAGAAGGAACGAGGACCGCGAAGCGCGAAGCGCGAATAACTTCGCGCCCTCGAGGGAGCCTTTGGGCAAGACGAAGCCAGGACCAGGGTACCTGTGAGTGAGGATAGATCGAGCATCTCGGAGGTCCGGCGGCTTGGGAAGATGCCTCGGGCGCCGCGGCAGCCTCAGAGCGTTCCGGGAACGTTCTGGGAGCGTTCCGGAACTCTCGGGAGCGGACTTACCCTCGTCCTTGCCCCGTCCGAGGAGAGGGCACTTACGGAACGAAGGCCTTCGTCGGGAGTGGAAGGGTGCGGCCAGCCTGTGCTGAGGCAGCCTCGCAGTGAACGGCACAACGCTCACACGCGTGTCGAGACGGTGGTTATATGCCGTACTGCGTTCGCTACAACGTGGGCCAGTTGCGGCGGGTGCAAGAAGCCCTGAACCAAGCAACCTTGCTCTCTCTTGGGAGGCCGACTTTTGCTTCCAACGCCTTCCGCCGAGCTTCCGCCGGCGCCCTCCGCCGAGGAAGAGGCAACAACTCCTTCGATCCTCGAAGGCGAGGCCCTCTCTTGAATGCCTCACGTGCGGAGCCAACACACAGCGTATTCACACGGGCATTTTGAACATGGTGCGTGTGGCGTGTCAGCACGTGCGCACCAAGGAAGCTGAGCTCCTCGCAGGCTCTGGGCTTGGAGCCAGGGACTGAAAAAGCCATCCTCGGACCCATACAAGCCATCCTCGGACCCATACGTCCCGCGCCCATTTTTTTTCGATGCCTGGACCCCCTGAGCTCTGGACCACCTCCACCTCCCCAAGACTGGGTTTTCACCCCGAGCCGTTTCCTGACGGCCCCAGGCCCCAGGGCCCGCGGGGGGTCCCCAGCAGCCGAAGATGGGCAAACAGTGGCCGCTGCGATTTTTTCGGAGCCTGGGATCTCTGGGGAGCTCTGGGCCTGGGGCACGGCCATCAGCAGGGCCGCCAGCTTCACGCGGGAGGCGATGGTGTCGGCGTGCTCGGGGCCGAGCGCGCGTTCCTGGTCCAGCACGCCGCTGCGTTGCAGGCGCTCGGCCTCGACCCCCCGGCCCGTGGCGCTGAGCAGTCATGAGATGTCGGCAACGACGACGACGACGACGACGACGACGACGACGACGACGACGACGACGACGATGACGGCGGCGGCGGCGACGGCGGCGGCGGCGACGGGCGCTGCAGGCGCTCGGCCTCGTCCCCCCGGCCCGTGGAGCTGAGCAGGTCTACGAGGTTGCCCAGGGTCTTCAGCGTCGAGGGGTGCGTGGGGCCCAGCGAGTTCTGCTTGCCCTGCAGGGCCAGCCTTCGACAAGCAGAGAGCACACGGCACATGAGCGCAAGCCTTCGGAGCTCCACGCGGACTTCCTGGATCGGCACTGGAGCCCCCTGGCGGCGCCTCCGGCGCCGCCCCTGGTGCGCTCCGCGCGCCAGGGGGGGGTCCAGCGCCGATCCAAGAAGAAACCCGCGCGGACCTCCGACAGCTTATATGCTCGTGAAGTTGTCTCTGCCTCTCAAAAGCCTGTGCGTCTCCACCGCCTCCTCGTGCCCCATGGCCTTCTGGACGGTGGCGAGGTTGTTCAGCGCGGTGAGCGTCTCTGGGTGCTCGGGGCCGAGGGTCGCCCTCCGGGACCTCCAGGCCTCGCGCTGCAGGGGCTCGGCCTCGCTGTAGTTGCCCATGTCCTGGAGCAGCACGCCCAGGTTGTTGTCGGCGGTCAGCGTGGACTGGTGGTTGGGCCCGCACAGCCTCCTCACAGGAACAGAGGGCGGCGTAAACCTAATTCTTTGGAGGTCCGCGTGGATTTCTCGGATCGGCGCTAAACCCCTCTCTGGCGCGCGGAGCGCGACAGGGGCGGCGCCAGAGGCGCCCAAGCGCCGATCCAAGAAATCCGCGCGGACCTCCGAAAAACCCGCGCGGACCTCTGAGAAGTGATGCCCTTGCCGTTTCTGCTCCTCGACTCCTGCGCCCCTCGCGCACGTCCCTCAGCAGCGGCTCCGCCCCCGCGAAGTCTCCCGCCTCGCGGAGCAGCAGCGCCAAGTTGTTCAGCGCCTCCAGCTGCCGCGGCCCTGCAGCCAGCGGCAGCCCGACCAGCGCCTCGCCGCTGCCCTCGAGGCCCTCGAGCGGCTCCTCGGCGCACGAGCGGCAGGCCTCCACCGAGTGCCTCAGCGTCTCGATGGCCTCCTCGGGCTGGCCGGCCGCCTGCAGGTGGACGGCCAGGTTGTTCAGCGCCATCAGCGTCAGCTCGTGGACGGGGCCGAGGTCTCTCTGGCACCTTTCAGGGGAAGAGCAAGAACAACGCCGCGCAAAGATACCCAGGCACGATCGCGCCGCGTAAACTCAGGACGGAGGCTTTTCACAACCTTCGGCCCACGCCCTGATTTTTTCAATCCGCGGTCCCCGAAATCCCCACCCTTTCCCTGGGACCAGCTTTTCATCCTGAGTCGTTTTTTTAAAGGCCCTGGGGCCCGGCGAGGGCCTCCAGAGGCAGAAAAAGCGGTGAAAAACCAGCCGCCCTGAATTTTTTACGACGCGATCATGTCTGCGGAGGAGGAGGGGGAGGAGGAGGAGGAGGAGGAGGAGGAGGAGGAGGAGGAGGAGCGATCATGTCTGGGGCGGCGTCCACGAACGGACTCGCGCCAGAGGCGAGGCCCAGGGGGGCCCTCGCCAGAGAGGTCCGCGCCGGACGCGTGGACCTCGCGCCCCTCGCAGAAGGAGAGGCGGCGTGCGCAGAGCCTGTCGGAGGCTCGCGCGGGCTTCTTGGCTCGGCGCTGCGCCCCCCTTGCCGGGCATCTCGCGTCGTGAAAAAATCCGGGCGGGGGGTTTGGCGCAAGTTTCGGCCCCTCAGGGCCCTCACCGGGCCCCGGGACCCCGTCGAAAAACGACTCGGGATCAAAAGCCGGTCCCGGGCAGGGGGTCGGGGGACTTCGGGGGACCGCGTACAGTGGAGGCCAGTCCACAAGAAACCTTCCACAAGAAACCCAATCCTGAGACCCCAGGATGTCCGTTGGTTTCTGGTGTGGGAACGTCACGCTCTTTCCATAGCCGAAGCATCGAAACCCAAGAAACCCAGGGCACCCTGGAGGCAAGCAGGGTGTTTCTTGGCATGGGTCTCCACTGCATTGAAAAAATCAGGACGTCGCTTGTCTGGGTTCGTGGCGCGCGGAGGCACGGCCAGGGGCATCGCCAGAGGCGCGGCCGGGGGCTCGCCATCGCTGGGAGGTCCATTCCCCGTGCAGTCTTCGATTTCGTGCGTGTAATTTTCGCCAGATCAGACATGCTCCTCGATGGTCCCCGCCGGGAGACATGCACACGTCCGAACGATGCCAAGGGGGTGGGCCGGTGCCGGGCCAAGAGCTCCGCGCCGACCTCCGAAAGCTCATGCTTTTGCGGGTTCTTCTTCTGATGAGAGAGAGAGAGAGAGAGAGAGAGAGAGAGGAAGAAAAAGAGAGGGAGAGAGAGAACGAGCAAAAGAGAGAGAGAGAGAGAGGGAGGGAGAGAGAAGGAGAGAAGCCTGTGGCGCGCGCCAGGGGCACAGACATCCGGCGTTTCCGTTATTTCGAAGCACTGGCCACCGACCTCTGGAACCCCCTCCCCAGGGCCGGCTTTCCATCCCTAAGCTTTTTTTGACGGCCCCGGGGCCCGGCGAGGGGAGCCCGGCGCCGAGCCGAGAAGTCCGCGCGGAGCCACAAACCAGCAAGTCTGTGCCGTTCTGCTCTGCTCCGTCGTCGTCGTCGTCGTCGTCGCCGCCGCCGCCGCCGTCGCCGTCGCCGTCGCCGTCGCCGTCGCCGTCGCCGTCGCCGCCGTCGTTGCCGTCGTCGCCGCCGCCGCCGTCGTCGCCGTCGTCGCCGTCGTCGTCGTCTCCGTCGCCGTCGCCGTCGCCGTCGTCATCGTCTTTGCCGTCGTCTACGGCCTCTGCGCCGCCAGCCGCAGCAGCTCGTCGGCCTGAGCCGCCCGCCCCGTCCTCGTCGGCTACACGCATGGATCAAGAGGCCCAGGGACGCTCAAATAAATCGACAGAAATCCAAAGACACCCCATATGTTGCAAAAAGTTCAGGGTTTTCGTTTCCCCCCCACTTCCCATATTTCGCCATATTTTCCTGGGGGTCGACGATTACATGCGTATGTGTGTGATTTTTCCCTCCCGAACCTGGGCGAGTGCGACCTTTGGTGCGCGGTTTTCGGGAGGCGCCAGGGGCCAAATCCGAGCGCGCAGCCAGCCACCATCGGATCTCATTGTTGCCGTCGCTCGGACGTCCTCTGTGGTGCATGTTTCGTTTCCGTGCATGTTTTTTGCATGTTTCGTTTCTGTGCATGTTTTTTTCGATGGTCCTCGCCGTGGACAAAACACCGGGGAGAACTGCCCTTTCTAAGCATCTGAAATATGCGAATCGAGCGCGCCGTTTCACGATGAAACGCCGGGGGGGGACACGGCGCGCACTTCTGCGCCGACGCGAACGAGATGACGGCGACGGCGACGACGACGAAGACGACGACGACGACAACAACGACAACGACAACGACGACGACAAGTTCGCGACAGCCCGCCTGCGCGCACCACTACCGCATGGGTGCTGCAGCTTGCGGGGGCACCGTGCAACGCGCCACCGGCGCGCCGAAGTTGCGCGACGCTCCCCCTTACAAGAGAGGGGCGGTGACGACGACAACTTCGATGCACGCTGCCCGCGCGCGCAACGGCCGCGAAGTGGAGGTGGCGGAGGAGGACGTCGGCGACCTGAAGCATCCGCGCGCGTGCGCGAAGGCGCGACGGCCCCGACATAGCCCGAAACGCCTTGGGGCCCCAAAGCTCGCGCGTAAGGGGGGGGGGGGGGTCGCGGGCAGAAGAGCGATGGGTTCCAGGGAGGGGATTGGTAGGGGCCGGGCGAGAAGAGGCACGCGACAGCGGCAAGGGGAGCGGGGCCAGGGCGCGGCGCGGAGAGAAAGGACAATCCGTGGAAAGACAACGCCAAAGAGGCCACGGAGGAAAAGGACGCAAGGGCGCGGAGCAGACGCGCGAGTAGAGGGCGCACCTGATGGGGGGGGGGGGGGCCCGCGCGGAACGCCAACTAATCGCGGGAGGACTCGGGGGTGGGGGGCCGGCAGCGAAGGGGCGGGGGAAGGGGGGGGGGGGCGCGCGAGGAGGGGCGGCGATGGGGGGGGGCGGGCGACGAGGACGAGGAGAAGGGCGACGACGAAGACGAGGTGGCAGAGCGCGGCGAGAAAGACGCGGAAACCAGAACGCAGACGTCGCGAGGCCCCCGTCGGCGCCCGCGTTCGGAACCGGGCAGCCGCGGGAGCCCTCCAGGAGGCGCCGGTGGGTTTTCGCGCTCGGACTTGAGCGCGGCGGGGGGAGCTCCCCAGAAGATCCTCGGAAGGCCTCGAGAGGCTCCTGCAGAAGCTCCCGATGCCATCTCGCAGGCTCCCCAGAGGCTCATGAGAGGCCCCTGGGAAGCTCGCAGGGCGGTTCTGGGGTTCGTCTGCGCGAAGCCCACTTCCTGACAAGGAGCTCTGAGAGATTCTGAGACGATGTCGAAAGGCTCCTGAGAAGCCCCCAGGGGACTACTGACATGCTTATGAAAGAGGCTGTCGAGGATGGCCTTGCGCGCCTCCTGCGGCCGAATCCCACCTCCAAATGATGCCTGCGGCGGCCGCGCACCTGCTTCGAATCTTGCCCGTCGACGTCCCGAATAAGGCTCCGACTCGCGCAGAGTCAGAGCTGCGAGTCTTGCCTGTCGACGCCCCGAATGGCGCCCCGCATCGTAAAAAGCAAGACAAAAGATAATCCACCGAACTTTCGCGAAAGGTTCGGCGATGTGAAACTGCCATCTTTCGGGGCCTCTTTCGGCGGCCTCTTTCGGTGGCATCTCAGGGGGGCAAGCCCTGCGCGCGCGGGCGGCCTGTGTGCCAGGGGCTCCACGGACCCCGAGTCCAAAGCCCTCGACTAAAGGGCGCAGAGCTTGCTGCTTCTGGGGCCAAGGCCCGCGGACTCCGCGGCAGCCCAGGGCGCGCGATGCCATCGGGCCCACTGTCGATGGGGCCCACGATACCTGCGCCCCAGGGTCAAAGGCGGAGGACGGCGGCGACCAGCGGCGAAGGGGCGGGCCTTCCTGGGCCCTGCGAGGACGGGCGAACGACTCCCGGGCATCAGAATCGAAGGTCGAGGGCTCCTGTGGCGCAGGGCCAGGGGCCCGCGAAGTCCGCGGCGCGGCCCTGGGGCCACGGGCCCAAGACTCCTGGGTCGTCGAATGAGGAGGGCCCGCGTCCCTCGGGCCCTTGAGCCACGCGCACCCGTGCAGCCCCGCCAAGAAAAAATCCGACGGGGGCGTTCGGTCCGCGCGCGAATTGTTCATCGATGGCTCCCTGGATGGCCCACCGAACATGCCGGAAGCCTCAACGTCGGCCCCCGCAAACGCCCCCAGGTGCACCCCAGAGCCAAGGCGGGGCAAGAACGAGGGCGCACCGCAAGTGCCCTGCGAGAGCACGGGGGGCGAAAAGGGCAAACTCGACGCAGCGAGCTGGGGTCGGCTATTGGGCGCGGTGTTATGAGGCGCGCGCGCGCGCGCGAGTGCGCCCTGGCCGGGGGGGCGGCCCTAAAACGCATGGACTCGCACTCTTCTGGCAAAGCTGCCCCCCCCCCCCCACAAATATCAGCGAACGCGTTTCCCACTCCAACTTAGGAAGGCTCGAATCGCACGCGCGCGCAATCGCGCTAGGAAGCGCTTGGGGCCCATTCGCCCCGATGCGCGGACACAGAGAGGATAACGACGACGACAACGACGATGGCAACGGCGAAAAGGACGGACGCGACGTGGAAAACGACGACGACAGCCGCTTCAAGGCATCGCACCCACGGGGCCACCTCGCAATGCTCTTCAAGAGCGACAGGGGCGCGGTATTCCTTGCCGTGCCCTCGCACGAAAGAGACGCAACGATGACAACTTCGAGGCACAATGCCTGACCACACCGCTTCCGCGAAGACACCAGCATGCGCGGGGGCGGGAGGGGGGTGCAAGAACGAGGAGGAGAAACTAAGCGCGCAACAGGACCACTCCGCGCAAAAAATCCGAATTGGACCAAGGAATATGTGGTGATCAAAAGCCGCGCCATCGCTCGAAACGCCACGCGGCCTTGCATTGCAACGTTGGCTTCGTGGCCCTGCCGCGCCCCGAACAAACTCTTGCGCGACCTTCGCCAGCGATCGTTGCATGTACTACTTCCTCCAGGTCCCCGCGCTGGTTCTTCTATAAGCGCCAGCATGGCAATCGCTTCGACGGGACCCAAGCGAGTCGGGGCCGGACCATGCGCTGTGCATCGCGAAGAGCATCCCGCAATGCCAGCGGAACAGAAAACGCGCAACAACGACATCGAGCCAAAAAATAAGCAACTCTGAACATGACAATACTCGCCGAAGTTTCGTTTGGGATCCTATTGATCCCGAAAAAAATGCATACGTCCGAGCGATGCCAGGTATTCAGCCATCCGAGAGACGATCAAATACGGGTCTTGCGCGAGATGACATGGTGACCTTACGCGGCTGCTTACGCGGGCCGCCAGCGCGGCGCGCCACATTCGGAACGAGGGCGCGTACGCGCGACCTCACGCGGGCAGTTTACGCGCCAATGTCGGCGACCCCGTTTCTTGCGTCGCTCCTCGGGGACTCCAACCCATACGTCCAACCACTCCAATTTTTTCGATGCGTGGGCCCATGGAGGTGTGGACCACTTCCATGCGGCCGGTTTTCCATCCAGAGTCGTTTCTTGATTGTCCTGGGGCCCGTTGAGGGCCCCCCGGAAGCCGAAAACAACCCAAAACCGGCCGCCCAAATTTTTGTTCGGAGCCTCGGATCTCTGGACATGTGCCCGCACCACTATGTCCTATGTCCGCTCCAGAGGTCCCTCCGGTGAAAGGTCACTCTTCAGTTACTAGAAAAATGAAAAACGACTTCTGGCGCTCCGCACGGATTTCTGGGATCTGCGCTGGACCCTTCTCCCTGGCGCGCGGAGCGCGCCAGGGGCGGCGCCGGAGGTGCCGCTGGGCGGATCCAAGAAATCCGCGAGGAACGCCAGCAGCTTATGCTTATGGCGTCTTCTCTTCGAACCAGAGGTCCCTCCGACGAAAGGTCACTCTTATCAAAACATTACTGGGATAAAGGGGTCTTTTCTGCAGATGTATCAGACAAAACCGCCCAGAATTATGATCCTCAATGCGAAGACGGGGACTTCAGTGAGGCCACGTCTTCATCTTGTTCTTGGGGTTAGGTATTTTTTGTGCTTGATGACTTACGTCGTCGCCGATCCTCCGCCACAGTCGCGCCAGGCTGTCCTGCGTTCGCAGCGTCTCGCAGGCCACCGGCCCCAGCGCGCCCATGCGGCTCTCCAGGGCGCGCTGCAGCAGGTCCTCGGCCTCCTGCACCTTGCCCTCCTCCGTGGGTCGCACAGAGAAAAACCAGTACTACATGGGCGATTTCGGAAACCCTGAAGCCAAACACGTTTTCATTTCATGGGGACGCATCTTTTACTTCCGCCGCCTTCTGGCGAGCTTCCGCCGCCTTCTGCGGTGGAGGAGATGACAACTCCTGCGATCCTCGAAGGCAAGGCCCTTTTGAAACGCCCCAGATGTCCTCCTTGGAGGCGCGCGTCAGAACCGAACCAATAGTATACCCATCTTGTAATACATCGTTTCCCCAGCGGTGTGGCCAGAAAGCGCCCGCCACGACGCATGTACGATGAGATTTCTCGGTGCGCACGTCGCCCCTGGGGGGCGACGCACACACAGTGAAGAATCAACGCTATAAACATTAACTTTGACGCTCCGCGCGGAGCGCCTACAGCTGATGCTTATGACGCTTTTTCTTCTTCTTCTTCGAGATCAGGGAGGGTCGTTCACCACCAGGGGGGCCGGGATAATTCGCGGACCGCTTCAGGCCAGGTGATGTACGTGGCGGCCACATTGAGCAGCTCGTGGCCCAGCAGCCAAGGCTTGGAACGAGGAGGAGGAGGAGGAGGAGAGGAGGAGGAGGAGGAGGAGGAGGAGGGAGGAGGAGGCGGATAGGAAGGGCTGCTGACCCCATGGCGGTTCTTTGCCGACGCATGCGCACAGCAACCGGAATCCGGAAAGAGAGAGAGGGAGGGAGGGAGGGAGGGAGGGAGGGATATTATAATATTTGATATATTATATATATATATATTTTATATATATATATATATATAGAGAGAGAGAGTAGAGAGAGATTGCGAGAGAGAGAGAGAGGATATATATATGTATATATATATATGTAGAGAGAGAGAGAGCGAGAGAGAGAGAGAGAGAGAGAGAGAGCCAGAGAGAGTCATGCAGGCAAGAGCCCCTGAGAGCGCCCTAGGCTGCTGAGGGCCCAAGCGGAGTGCGTCCCCAGCATACTGCAGCAGCGACCGCTGCAGCTTACAGTCTGGCTGCTGAGATCAGGAACGCCGAATGAGGAACGAAGCCCCTTTTTGGCACCAGGCGAGCCTGGGTGCACGAGGAGGGCTAGAGAAACAGCCATCACAGGACCCAAGGAACATCGAACCCCTGCCGAACCCAACCTGCTCCTTCTTTCAGCGTCTTGGTTGTACGTAAATGGTAGTGACCCTCCCCCTTTGGCACTGCTGGGCTCCTCGAGCAACAGTTCTCCCAGGTTGTGCAGGGACATGCCGCTGGCCAAGCTCCGCTCCCCTTGGCGGTACCAAGCGACCGTTCCGAAACACGATCGACGGGCTCACGGACAGCCGGGCGGGGAGGAGCGAGGCGGAGGAGGAGAAGGAGGAAGAGGAGGAGAAGGACGAAGAGCAGGAAAAGGATGAGGAGGAGGATGAGGAGGATGACGAAGAGGAGGATGACGAGGAGAAGGAGGATGAGGAGGAGGAAGAGGAGCAGGAGGAGGAGGAGGAGAAGGAGGAGGAGGATGATGATGATGATGATGAAGCGCCTTGAAAGGTCGGTCCTCCCAAAACACAAACCTGAGAAGCCACCAATACGCCAAGTGCGTACGGTAGAGAAAGAGAGAAACGGGAGGAGAGGCGGGGGAGGAAAGAAGCGGAGGATAGGTGAAGCCCAGCCCAGGATTGAAACCCATGATACTGAAAGAAATCATGAATGACAGACTGTCCAATATCCCAAATGAATCCCACCACAAGGTCTCTCTTGTGTTGAATGAAGATGAGAAACATGAGAAACATAATGCAAGATAATGAAAGAGTTGCCCAAATTGATTAACAAGATCTTGAGTAACAATTGGAGCCAACCTTGAGAGCACATGGTCCCAAGGTCTAAAGTAAGTAAGAAGTGAAGAAAACTTCCATTAAGTCCCATGAAACCCATTGAACATGAGTAGCAGTCAAGACGGATATAGGTACTGAAAGAGAATCTGAAAGATAAACTGAATGTCCCAAGCACGCAATGAACCCAGAAGATACGGAGGCATACAAGATGAACTGTCAAAGCAGAATGAGATCCCAACCGTGAGAACCCACACCAGGCATGTCAAGAAATATGGAATATGGTTGAATTCAAACAGGTATGGAGAACGCAAGATGGCTGGAAATGTTTAGAACCTTTTGTATTTGTCAACCAACATCGTAGAAGTACATGCAAGAGAGATTGAGAGAGACTGAGAGTCCTCCAAAAGCCGCAGGCCCATGCACCGCAGACACCAGGAGATTCAGTCTGAGGGAGTCCCAGGAATGGCCTTCACGGGTACTTCCAACGCCACTTTTCCACGAAGAAATCTCCGTCCCACCAGTAGTCGGACAGGCACCATACAACTGGGTGAGGCCAGCCCGAATCGGGATCAATCCACGTGTCAAAGTACTCCGTATACCATACTTTGGTGTAGACTTTGTCCTCTTCACAGTAGTTCCACATTCCGCCCGAGCCGTGTGTCCACTTGAGACGCTTCTTGGCGGCGAGCTTCCAGGAGGAGGAGAAGGAGAAGGACGGGGAGAGAAGGAGGAGCAGGAGGAGGAGGAGGAGGAGGAGGAGGAGGAGGAGGACGAGGAGGGAGAGGAGGAGGAGGATGAGGGGGAGGAGGAGGAGGAGGAACAGGAAGAGGAGCAGGAGGAGGGCAGGAGGAGGAGGAGCAGGAGGAGGAGGAGGATGAGGAGGAGGGGGAGGAGGAGGAGGAGGAGGAGGGGGAGGAGGAGGAGAAGGAGGGGGCAGGAGGAGAGAGGAGGAGGAGGAGGACGAGGAGGAGAAGGGGGCAGGAGGAGGGGAGGAGGGGGAGGAGGACGACGACGAGGAGCAGGAGGAGGAGGAGGAGGAGGAGGAGGAGGAGGAGGAGAAGGAGGAGGAGGAGGAGGAGGAGGGAGGAGTAGGAGGAGGAGAAGGAGGAGGGCTTTTTTTGACTGTACTAAGCTCGTTGCAAGTACGTAGCTTGAGCGCAGCGGCCAACAGGACTGGCACAGGCTGCACACGAGAAGCCCGAGAGCATGGACGCTGAGCTGCTTCCGCTCTCGTCCCGAAAACTGTCGGGGGAGAGGTATTGGCGCTGCGGGAGGGGAAGGGAGGAATCATATACGAGAGAGGGGAGTTTGCAGCGCCGTGCGAAGAGAGACATCAGCGGGGCCCTGCTTCGTTGCCCATCGCAGGGCAGCCCTCGAGGCAGAGAGCAGTGCAAGGCTGGAAAAGGAGAGACCTGCCTAGGTGTGCCGTCCAAGTTTCGGTCGGCTGAAGGAGAGGGAAGAGCTGGGCGGAGGGCCAAATTGGCCAGGGCGCCGCGCGGCTGTCCAAACCTCCAGGGGAGGAGAGCTGGACTGGAGGAAGAGGGGGGGAATCAGGAGGGCCAGATTGGCATTGCCGTGCTGCAGGGCGGCCGCTGCAGCTGAAAGGCCTGCACGGGCCGTCCGCGACGGGGAGGTGGGTGTGCCTGGGCGCTAGCCGAGACCAGACAACAGAGACCCACCTCCGTGTGGCCCCTCACAGGCACACAGGGACCAATGGGGACCCTGCTACACCTGGACGAGGGCCAAAGAGACAAGCCGAGGCACAGTGCCGCGGTCCTCCCACGAGGCACTTATGCTTGCCGTGGCCTTGACTCAGCCGCACAGCCAAGACGCACTAGGGCATGGTGCCTGTATGCGTATATGGCACCTTCGCTGGCCGCCTTGGCCGAGAGTTACTCGGCGGGGATGTGCTGTAGCATCGTCCTTGCTTGCCACAGCTTAGGTTTGGCCGTGGCAGTCTGGCTAGGACTGTCTAGGTAGTGAGCTGCCAAGGTGAACCAAGAGTATTAGGCCAGCTCACCACCTAGGAGACTCAGCCGTGGCGAGTCTGCGAATTGCTGTGTGAGCTTAGCCGATCGCTGTTTAGCGAGGCTGCTAAAATGTGCCGCATTGGCCGCACTCGTGCGGCAAAGTGAGAAGTCGCGCCCATGACTGGCAACTACTCTTGCACAGGCCCTCCAAGGGGGGGCCGGTAGAAAAAAGAGTTTCTCGGTGGGCTGCCGAGGTATGTATTAGGCTGGCTCCGCCCCTGTGTGGCGCATTGACGGTTGCACCATGGGCGCCCATCCCATGTTGACCTGGGATGGTGCCGACTGGCGCCGAAAGAGTTGCAGTGAGAATGTGTACCTGAAGGACCCACTGCGGCGGACTGCATGTCGGCTCGGCCGACCTTAAATTGGAGACGCGGCGTCTCCTTTGTTAGAGTTTGGCTCATGTGGTGGCTTGGGCTGTATAGGTGGTGGGCTGCAGATAAACCAGGATCCGAGAAGTGTGCTAGCCCACCACCTATGCGTGAAGACTCAGCCGTGGCGAGTCTGCGAATTGAGATATGTGAGCGGCGTTTAGCCGCCTCACTGTTAGCGGGGCTGCTCAAAGTTGCTGAGCCGCACTATGTCGGGATAGGCTGGATGCTGCTAGACTTGCGTGGCCTACTACTCAGCTATGCAGGACGGCTCGACCGACCTTGAATTGGAGCGGCATGGCTCCAGCTGTTTAGGTGGTGGGCTGCCGAGGTAAAGAGAAACCAGAATAGGCAAGATGGACAAAAGGAGAGTATTAGGCGAGCCCACCACCTAAGCGGGCGCGCTGCTAGTTGCGCCGAGGTCGCTTAGGACGACCTAGCAGGGCGCTGACTGATGCAGCACTCTATGTGGCTCGCTCAGGCACCGAAGGGCGACGGGTTGAGAGTGCGGGCGGCAGCCGAGAGCGCCGAGAGACCTGCCGCTGTCGCCGCCGCTCGCGCCTGGGCCTCTTGCGCGGCAGCCTGCTGCTGGTTGTAGTGGTCCCGCAGCATGGCCTCCACCTCAGAGATGGTCGCCAGGCCTGGGGTCTCGATCCACTCCCAGTCCCAGGTTTCGACGACCTGGCCGTCGATGACGTCCAGCGACTTGAGCTTCCAAACGAACGGGTAGAGCATGCCGTTGGGCATCTTCCACTCGCCAGGGTATGTGGAAGGCCACCACTTTTTGAACTCCCGCGTGGCGGCCGTGTATTGGGAGCCCTGCCATGCCGAACCAGCATACGTGTCTCCTGAGAGGCCGAAGAGCTCCCGCGTGTTGGGCGACGCCCTGCTGGCCTCGGCCGCGCCCGCATCCGACGCGGCCGTTGCGGAACCGCCCGCGGGAGGCATGGGCACCATGGCGGCGTGGGGCGCGCTGAGAGAAGGGGGGAGTGCCGAGGGAACAAAAAGAAGTAGCCCATAAGCCAACGGCCAAATATGAGTGAAACCTAGCTGGCTTATGCTTGCATCTGTGTGAGGAGGACCCTCCTGACGGGCCGACTGATGCATGCTTGGCCTGGTGCGGAGTCTATAGGGATGAGGATGTTACCGCTACGCATGTTGACCCGCAGCGAAAGGCCGGTGCGGTAGGGTATGCCCGTGCCAAATAGGATGGGCCGTGCATCAATCTCCTGTAGAATAGGGAGGTGAAAAAAGCGCGGCCTTTCCGCAGAGGATGGCAGCCTGGTCTCCTGCCCATGGAATTGCTCCATTAGGAGCCCTACGTTGATGGGCAATGGGGACCAAAGCGAAATGTGGCCTGTCGTTATCACTACCAGCCACTGCACGACTGTAGGCGGTGGTGGCACTGCCTCAGTGGGGGCGCAGCGGAAGTCGCCGTGCTCGAACTGCGGCAGGTGCTGCGCCTCTGGGGTCGGCATGGCCTGAGGGATTAGGGTTCGGGGAGACGGAGGATTCGAGCGAGGTAGGACAACGGGAGGCAGAATGGCCGCACCATGATCATGGCCTGGAAGTCTATAAGGATGGGGCTGCCAGCCGCTGCATCCTGCAAAAGACGATGAGGGATGAGGGAGGACTGCTCCCAGGCCCCCGATTGGAGTAGGTCCAGAAAAAGCTCATCAGGCACGTAAGCAGTAACTAGCCCTATGGTGGGTGAGAAACGGGCATTATAGGGGCCGTCCCCCGCTGCACATTGAGGGTAAATGTGGAGTAGGTTAGGGGAGTTGGCCTCGCGCCAGCGCCCATGCCAGCGCTCGAGTGTGCTATTAACGGCCGTGGGCAGATCTAGGTGAAGCACAGGGCCTACGTAAGCGCGCGCGTGTGGCCATGCGGGCGGCCCGCTCTCGAGCTGCCATGTGGCTTGCCACTGGGGTACCGCAGTATGCTGGTACACCGTGGTGGGAGACAGAATGAGTGCGTGGCGCCTCGCGCCGCCGCTGAGAAAGCGGTAGACTTGCTGGTGAGCCAAAAGGAGCCGCTCAGCCAAATGCTTCCATAAGGAAGCCAAACGAAAGGCTGGTGGCGAGATGCTGCGCAGATCTAAGTGTTGTCCCGGGTACGCCTCAGCAGCGGGCATGTCCTCGTCTGCGTCGGCGTTGCCCAGGATACTGGGCTCGCTCCTCATGGCCTGATGGGGATGAGGCAGAAAAGGGAGCTGATAAGAGGAAAGAGGGAGAGGTTAGGCTTAGGCTGAGGGCTAGCTGCCTGGCAAAGGTCTAGCGCCTGGCAGCATCACCTCCTTCATGAGGTTTACGCGGCCTCCTGGGCGAAAGACGCTGACCGCAATGCGAAAGGCTTTCGCCTTCTCGCAACTGAAGCCTGAGGCGCTCCCTGTGTATCCTGTCGATACGGAGCTGGTCCTGCCTATGCTCCTCTTTGAGCTGGGCAATTCTATTCTCGTGCTCCTTGAGAACTGTACTGCGCTGCTCGTCCGGGGCTGCACCAGACGCTTTGGCAGGCGAGTGTGAGCGCTGAGCTGCATGGGCCGCGCGGTGCGCCTTGGCCTTGCGAGCCCTATGGTGCCTAGGGGGAGGAGAGGCGGAGGAGGGGGGAGGGGGGAGGAGGAGGAGGAAGAGGAGGAGGAGGAGGAGGAGGAGGAGGAGAAGCAGGAGGAAGAGGAGGACGAGATGGAGGACGAGGAGAAGGAGGAGGAAGAGGAGGAGAAGGAGGAGCAAATCTGGCAGACATCTGGGCAGACATCCAGACGTCCCTGTTCCCTGTTCCCCGACGGCCCGTTGCGGCCAGATGCCTGCATGGCGCTATTGTGCATCCTGGCGCAGCCGATCCGACTCGATTTCGACTCCGTGCCGATGCGGCTCGGTCCGACGCACATTCTGTCTCGATCCGATTTGCCGATTTCATGTCGATTGATCCTGCCATCATAAACAGGGTTCGCCGTCGGCGTCGCCTCTGGCGCTGTCCACCTGAGACGAAAAAATCGGATATGGGCAACATGTGCTGTTGAGCACCGTGCCTATCTGCTCCGTCTGCAGCTCGGGGGGAGGAGGAGGAGAAGGAGGAGGAGGAAGAGGAGGACGGCCGTGGAGCGACCGTGGCCTTTGGTTCTCAAGTGGCCCTCCAGGGCCCGCCGGTACAGCTGCTCGGCCTCCCTGTGCTTGCCCCGGCGTTGCAGAAGCACCGCGAGGTTGTTGCACGACTCGAGCGTGCTCCTCGGCGACCGCCAGCGATCGGCGGCGCGCGCGAGGGGAGTGCGCGGGGGGGGGGGGGGGGCGGGCGACCTTCTGGGAAATTCGACCTCCGAACTTCGAGGTTTGAATTTTTTGTCATTTGTGGCCTCTGGGGGGCCATTTTCGGGCTCCGCGGCCGTCAGGAATCGATCAGGAAAGAAAAACTGCACCAAATACACCCTGGAAGGGGTCCCAGGACTGATTTTGAGCGGATCTATCGGCCATCCTTAGAGAAGGAGGCAAGGGGGCATCTCAGAACTCCGGGGCCCTCGTGCAGAGGGCAGCTTCCCAGAAGCCTCCTCAGAAGCCAGGATGCTTCCACAGCCTCATCCCCTCCTCCTCGTTTCGGCTTCGCGCCGCCCCATTCGTGCGCCGCCCTCCTGGCAACTGGGGGATACAACTCCGACTGAGAGAGCCGTGCTATACCCAACGACGGAAGGTCACCCCGAGCTGGGCACCGCCGCCCCCGACTCGACCCTTCCCACGCTTAACTGCCCCGGTACGCAACACGCAACACGCAGCGTGCTGACACGGAGTTCTACACGTAGACTGAAACCGCAGGCCTGGCGCGATGCGTTCGCCACATAGTCGAAGGCACAGTGTACAATCCGTTGCACACTGTCAAATGCAGCAATGAGTGGTGCAAAAGAGGAACTACAATTCCAAGCGAAACGTGCAGCGGTCGACCCACCCCCACACGTCCACACGCAGCAGTCAGCAGCTCCGCAGAGTGGTGAGTACGAGCTCGCAGTGAACTCCTGCTCCTGCTCCAGCTGACGGATCGGGAGGTGAGACGGTGGGACCATGTGATGAGGAGGGGGAGAGGAGGGGGAGGAGGAGGAGGAGGAGGAGGAGGAGGAGGAGCAGGAGGAGGAGGAGGAGGAGAGGATGGGGGAGGAGGAGGAGGAGTGAAGAGGTGGAGGAGGAGGAGGAGGAGGAGGAGGAGAGGAGGGAGGGAGGAGAGGAGGACGAGGAGGAGGAGGGGAGGAGGAGGAGGAGGAGGAGGAGGAGGGAGAGAGGAGGAAGAGGAGGAGAGGAGGAGGAGGAGGAGAAATAGGAGGAGGAGAAATAGGAGGAGGAGGAGGAGGAGGAGGAGGAGGAGGAGGGTGGAGGAGGAGGGGAGGAGGAGGAGGAGAGGAGGAGAGACGGAGAGGAGGAGGTGAGAGGAGGAGGAGGAGGGAGGAGGAATAAGGGAAGAGGAGGAGGAGGAGGAGGAGGAGGAGGAGGAGGAGGAAGGAGGGGCGAATGGGTGTAGGTAGGAGGATAGGAAGGAGTTGGAGAGAGGAGGAGGAGGAGGAGGAGGTGGAGGAGGAGGAGGAGGAGGAGGAGGAGGAGCGCACGTAACTCATGAGGAGGAGGAGGAGGAGGGATGACGATGAGGGATTCGGAGGAGGAGGAGGGGAATGAGAGAGTCGGAGGAGAAAGCTGCAGGATGATGATGGGGGGATGAGGAAGGAATTGGAGGAGGGAATCGGAGGAGGAGGAGGGAGGGAGGAGTTGGAGGAGGAGAAGAGGGAAGCGGAGAAGAGAACTGGTGGTGGAAGGAATTGGAGGGAATAGTTGGAACAAAATCCCCCCGCTGCGCTCCCGTGGTCGCGGCCAGCCGCCTCGCGCATCTCCAGCACGAAGCGCTGCAGGGGCTCCGCCTCGTTGTACCTCTCCAGGGCAGAAGCAGGAGGCAGGCAGGGAGGATGAGAGGGGGGAGAGAGAGGGAGCGGATGATGCTGATGATGCTGCTGCTGGTGGTGATGATGATGATGATGGTGATGATGATGATGATGATGATGCTGATGATGATGATGATGATGAGGCTGATGCTGCTTATGATGATGATGAGGCTGATGCTGCGTATGATGCTGATGATGAAGATGAGGATGCTTCTGATGGTGATGATGATGAAGATGGTGATGCTTATGGTGATGATGATGCTGATTGTGATGATGATGATGATGATGATGATGATGATGATGATGGTGATGCTGATGAGGCTGATGCTGCTTATGATGATGATGATGATGATGATGATGATGATGATGGCGATGATGATGAGGATGCGGATGATGAGTATGATGACAATGAAGATGATGCTGATGCTGATACTGATGCCGCTGCTGCTGCTGATGATGGTGCAATTGATGATGATGCTGCTGATGATGATGATAAAAAGGAGGAGGACGGGGGGTGAGGGGTAAGAGGTGAGGAAAAGGAAGGACGGGAGGGAGAGGGATGGGAGGGAGAGAAATGATGATGATGATGATGCTGATGATGATAATGAGGACGATGATGAGGACGGTGATGAAGAATATGATGATGCTGCTGCTGCTGATGATGATGATGGTTATGATCATGATGCTGTTGTCGATGCTGAATATGATGCTGATGATGGTGATGATGATAATGATGATGATGATGATGATGCTGCTGCTGATGATGATGATGATGATAGTGTGGGTGATGGTGATGATGATGGTGATGACGATGATGATGATGAAGACTATGGTGATGGTGAGGGTGGTGGTGATGATGAAGATGAAGATGAAGATGAAGATGATGATGATGATGATGATGATGATGCTGATGCAGTTGATGATGATGACGAAGATGATTATGCTGCTGACGCTGCTCCTGAGGCTATGATGATGATGGAACAATGATGATAGTGATGATGATGATGATGATGATGATGATGATGGTGATGATGATGATGATGATGATGATGATGATGATGATGATGATGAAGATGAAGATGACGATGATGATGATGATGATGATGATGATGCTGCTGCTGCTGCTGATTGTGATGATGATGATGATGATGAGGCTGATGACAATGATGCTGCTGCTGATGGTGATGATGCTGATGATGAGGATGCTGCTGCTGCTGATGATGATGATGGTGATGATGCTGATGATGGCGATGACGATGATTATAATGGTGGTGGTGGTGGTGGTGGCGGTAACGATGGTTTCGGTCGGATTCCAGAATCTCCAGGCAAGTTCCCAGAAGAGGGTGACCTCTAAAATTCCCCAATACCGTAGAAATGGGCAAACGATTATTTGCCCCCGGGCTAACTTAGGGTTGCCGATACCTAACAATACCCGGCAGATGATTCTTCCGGAGGCGACGGTAATGGAGGAGTGGTGAGCCGCGGGAAACTGAGGAGGAGGAGGAGGAGGAGCAGGAGCAGGAGCAGGAGGAAAGAGACGACGACATCGACGACGAAAACGACGACGACAACGACGACGACGACGACGACGACGACGACGACGACGACGACTACTTCCACCTTTACTACGACTACTACTACCACTACGACTATTACTACTGCTACTATTTCTACTAGTGCTAGTAGTAGTAGTAGTAGTAGTAGTAGTAGTAGTAGTAGTAGTAGTAGTAGTAGTAGTAGCAGTAGTAGTAGTAGTAGTAGTAGTAGTAGTAGTAGTACTACTACTACTACTACTAGTACTCCTACTCCTATCCTTATTCCTTATTAGAATATACTCCTACTCCCCCCTCAGGCCGGCAGATAGCGGGCGCATCCGGGTGGTCCCATCCTAACCTGTAAAAAACAATACAACATCAACATTTTTCTTATTTTTTCCTCTCGACATGGACGTCCTGTCGTCCACGGCGATAATCCATTGCAAAAAATACCACAAAGAGCACACGCGCGCGTTCATGTCAGAATCCTACCGAACACCGTGTGTTTGCAAGCATTTCAACATAAAAACATCAAAAACCCAATGCTTTTTCACAAAAAATTGTACAAATTTCCCGCCCGGGCTCTCTTGCTGAAATCATAGGAAAACCATAGGAATCTTAAGAATTCGGTCAAATCCAGCGATTTCACGTCATCGCGCGGTGCACTCGCGATGCTCTGTCATGCACCCAGGCCGCGAATCCTGTGCAAAAAATACCACAAAGAGCACACTCGCGCGTTCATGTCAGAATCCTACCGAACACCGTGTTTTTGCAAGCATTTCAACATAAAAACATCAAAACCCAATGCTTTTTCACAAAAATGCTTTGGGGTGTCCTGTCAGACCGTCGGGCTTCCTCCGGCCACCTCTGGCTTCCTGCGGTGTACCGGGCCATTCTCGACTCGTCTGGCAATGCGTGCGCGGCATTCAACACGCGCTCGCCAGTTCCCGTCGGCAACCGCCATCGCGGCCGCATCAGCTGTACCAAACCGGCTGGCCGGTGTGACTTCGGCCCCCAGTTGTGCCAGCTTTGCTTCTTATGTTGTGGGAGGGCGGGTGGGACTGGGCATGCCATGCTTGACTCGCTCGAGCTGGCTAGCTTGACTCCTACTCCTACTC